CTTGTTTGTATCTGAATCATCTGAATTATGAGGCTGGACCAGGTGACCTTGGGCTTTATTTTAAAATCGATAGCACCATAATGCCTACCATTGTATGTTTTCAGTGAGGGCTCATGTGTGGGTTTCTTGGGCTCCATCCCTGCCAAATGTAGAGAAGAAAAAATTGTCAGCAGCATTTTCTGGGGAGAGGTTCCTTCCATATTTTTCATTAGGCTTTCCAGGGGGGCCGTGACCAAAGAAAAATTAAGAACCACTGACTAAGTATGTTTCATCACAGTGACCATTCAATAAATAATTGTCACAGGCTCCTAAAGCGCAAGAACGATATCGATGAATGGAAATGTCCTATTCAGCATTTTAAAAGGGAGTTTGAAGTGCTCCTTAGAGCCGTTTTTTCGGGAAATGTTTTCTGACCACCTAAGACCAACACGATCGCCCAATCTCTTAGTTCCTTTAGCAGTGATTGCACATGTACTAGTTCTTGGCTTTATTTTTATGTTTTTTGAGTACACTGTTTAGCTTTTCTAATAGAAACAGCTAGCTGTGTCAGGTGCGGTGGCTCACATCTGTAATCCCAGCACTGTGGGAGGTTGAGGTGGGCAGATAGCTTGAGCTCAGGAGTTCGAGACCAGGCTGGCCAACATGGCGAAACTCATCTCTACAAAAACAAAAAACAAAAAACAAAAAACAACAATTAGCTGTTATTAGCTTATCTCCGTGCTGGCTAAGTTACATAATCATCCTTGTGAAGCTAGTGTTGGCATCCCCGTTTTAGAGATGAGGAAATAGGCTTAGAAATGTAAGTAAATGGTAGCTGGTAAGTGGCAAAACTGTGATCTGAATCAAGCCTGTTTGACTCCAAAGCTTTCCATTTGTCACAGGTATTGATAAGCCCTGTTGGTTGGCAGAAGTAATAACTATACTTTATTTATTTTGAGATGAAGTCCTACTCTGTTGCCTAGGCTGGAGTGCACTTGTGCAATCTCGGCTCACTACAAGCTCTGCCTCCCAGGTTCAAGTGATTTTCCTGCCTCAGTCTCCCAAGTAGCTGGGGTTACAGACTTGTACTACCATACCTCATAACTTACTTTGTATCTCACATGGCGCATTCAGATTTTTACTGAAAAAAATGAATATACGTATTGCAGTATGATCAAGCTTGTTTTATGTAATGTGCCTGCATGTGCCCAGAATCAAGGATTACCCCTTTTATTTCCTTTTATTTTTCTCATTTGTCTCCTATTTTGTAAACTAAATGCTCCCTTCCCTCCCTGCCATTGCTGGATTTTCCTACGAACTTTTATACCCTAACTTGCTTTGGAAGTAGCAAACTACACAGGATTAAAGAATTGTTATCAATTCACACATTTGAGATTTATTTCTGTGTTCCCACCATTACCTCCGACACCAGTTTTCTAGCTACTTTGTGTGTGTGTGTGTGTGTGTGTGTGTGTGTTTGTGTATGTATTTAAATTGTGATTGAATTAGAAAACCTTGTTAGAAAGTCAAGTTTCTGAAGCAGTCATTTATGTTCAGCCTGTGTAACTAACGGACAATTATCTTTCAGTTTCCTCTGGAATCTTGCTTTAATGACTTTCAGAGTAGTGTTTATATATACCATCACTTGCCTAATTAGTTTTATAAGGAAATCCGGGTTGTCCTGGGTCATCCTGCCAATAGGGGCAGCTTTCACTTTCCTTAAGCCTCCCGAGGGATGCAGTCCCTTCCTGAAGTGCTGGAAGCTGGCTTTCCCAGAGCTCAGGGTTGGGGACTGTTTTCCTTTTTTTTTTTTTTTTTTTTTTTTTTAATCGCAGAAATGAGAAAGTCAGTGTCAGGGAGGTGGCTGAGTGTACCACAGTCCTTCTGATTATTAATGTATTTCTCTTACCTTAAAACTTGAGTTATTTTATCATGAAATTGCAGGCAGGAAAAATACATAGAAGCAATAGACTTCAGATTGAGGATGAAGAAATCCCTCTGAACTTCAAGGAAATTTGGAAATGAGCAAAAATTTTGAAAATACTTGAAAATGAAACTCATAGCCCTAATAAAAATTGCAGTTAAGCGTATCAGCAATTTGATTCTGAGAAGACCAAGCACAGTGCCTGGCATATAATAGATGGTTAGTTAATTTTATGGAATGAATACATAAGTAGGTGGTGGATGACCACCACTGGAACATAATTTCCACAAGGGCAGAGTTGCTGATATTTCTAGCATCTGCTAAAATGTGCTTAGTAACTACATTCTGAATGAAAGACTGAATGCCAGTAAAAGATAAGCTGTTGGGTTATCTTTTTTAAATTAAAAAAAATAGAGACACAGTCTTGTTCTATTGCTCAGGTTGGACTTGAACTCTCGGGCTCAATCAAGCCTCTTGCTTCAGCCTCCTGAGTGGTTGGGATTATAGGTGTGTGGCATTGTGCCTTTCTGTTGGGTGGATTTTAGTATGAAAACTACCAGACCCTAAGAGAGGATCTCTGGGCATAACAACATAGTATATTTTTTTAAAAGCCAAGCTTATTAGAAATGGTGCTTACGTCCTATGATACCAGAAATTTGTTTTTATTTGGAAATATCACAGAGTTGAACATGTTGAATTTTTTTTTTTTTTTTGAGGCGGAGTTTCGCTCTTGTTACCCAGGCTGGAGTGCAATGGCGTGATCTTGGCTCACCGCAACCTCCGCCTCCTGGGTTCAGGCAATTCTCCTGCCTCAGCCTCTTGAGTAGCTGGGATTACAGGCACGTGCCACCATGCCCAGCTAATTTTTTGTATTTTTAGTAGAGACGGGGTTTCACCATGTTGACCAGGATGGTCTCGATCTCTTGACCTCGAGATCCACCCGCCTCGGCCTCCCAAAGTGCTGGGATTAGAGGCTTGAGCCACCGCGCCCGGCTTGAATTTTTAAATATAAATTAAGGCACTGGTTCTCAAACTTTTAGGTCTCAGGATGGTTTTTGGCACAGTGACTCATGCCTGTAATCCCAGTACTTTGAGTGGCCGAGGTGGGCAGATCACTTGACGTCAGGAGTTCGAGACCAGCCTGGTCAATGTGATGAAACGCTGTCTCTACTAAAAATACAAAAAATTAGCTGGGCATGGTGGCTTTTGCCTGTAATCTGAGCTACTCAGGAGGCTGAGGCAGGAGAATCACTTGAGCCTGGGAGGCAGAGGTTGCAGTGAGCTGAGATTGTGCCATGCACTCCAGCCTGGGCGACAGAGCGAGACTCCCTCTCAAAAAATATATATATATATATATTGGGGACTTGAAAGAACTTTTGTTTATATAGATTTTATTTACTGATATTGATCGTATTAGAAATTTAAAATGAGAGATTTAAAAGATTTATTAATTGATTTAAAATAGTAGTAGTAATCCCTTTATACAGTTACATAAACGACATAATTTTAGGAAAAAGGACTGTATTTTCCCAAACAAAAAAAAAATTTAGTAGGAAGAGTGGTGTTTTACATCCCTCTTCTGTCTGACTTAAATAAAACACAGTTGGACTCTCAGCTGCTTCTGCTTCAATCTGTTGTGATATGTTTTGGCTGAAGTATATATGTCTAACATAGATACATAATTGAAAAAAGAAGGGAGTACTTTTAATAGCTTTTTCAGGTAACTGGAGAAATTCTTTGATATTTTTGATAGTGGTAGTTGGCAAGTGATAGTTTCTCCAAGGTTGGCTGCAAGGTAGAGAATGAAACAGTGTCTGTGTTTCATATTGGCCCATCTTATGTGTTGAATGGCTCTTTTATGTGTTGGTGTGACCTCATTCTTTAGTTTGGAAAACACTATTTCATTGAGTTTTGCAGGTCTCCTAAATGTTGACACATTTCATTATACAACATCAAAAAAAAAAAAAGTCACGATTGTTAGTATCGCCATCAATCTCGAACAGCTTTTAAGTATTAGGTGGCCATCAAGCTGATGGTAGATGCACGTTTTCAAAAATTTTATATTTTTCACTTGGAAGCTCACATTTATCATTGGCAATAAATTCTGTCAGTTACTTAAGTGAAGCAACAGACTCACTTTATTGTATTTCAGAAAAGTATCTGCCAAATATCCAACTCTAAATAACCATATTGAAATTGTTCTTTCAAGTAAAAATGGTGTTTCATGGAGAGACTGGCTGCTTAGCTCAGGACAGATCTCATCCCTAGAGTATAACCAAATGCTTTATGTGTCAGAATATTAATACAGAATCAATAATTTTTGGGGTTTTTTTGAGACAGAGTCTCACTCTGTGCCCAGACTGGAGAGCAGTGGCTGGCCCCATCTTGGCTCACTGCAACCTCCACCTCCCTGGTTCAAGTTATTCTCCTGCCCCGGCTTCCCAAGTATCTGGGACTACAGGCACCTGCCAGCATGCGCAGGTAATTTCTGTATTCTTAGTAGAGATGGGGTTTCACCATGTTGGCCAGGCTGGTCTCCAACTCCTTGCATTGTGATCCACCTGCCTCTGCTTTCCGAAATGCTGGGATTACAGGTGTGAGCCACTGCACCTGGCCCAGAATCAATAATTGTTAATGCTTCATCGAGACATTCTTAAATGAAACTGGCATGAAAAACAAACAACAACAAAAAAAACCCCTGGGATTTCATGGTGGGAAGAACATAGTGCCAGTTAGTACCGCCTGGCACTGTCACCTTGACTCATGCGAAGGTTCCTGCTGTCACACCACTGTTGCTCTTGCACCATCAGTGCAAATGCCAACACAAGGGAAAAGGCAAATAGTGGCTCAGTGTTATCATTAAAGTGGTTTGGTTGTGAGGACCCTTAAGGGTTCGTGGAGCATACTTTGAGGCAAGCTTATTTAAGAGGTTGGAAACACCACGTTAAAATTTATGCTAATAAAGTGAAATTGTGCCAATTGCCCCAGACCGTGCATAAACCCAAAACTCATATTTGTCTTGGAGAAATGCATTCAAAACGTAGTCAACATCACTATCTCATTTTGCCTCTGTGTTAAGACGAGTTTGCATACTTTTAGCCTCTTAGAGCGAGCGGTTGGAACATTATCCAAAAGCAAGTTAAACAGCAGAGGGGGTGGGCAGCTAGAAGTTAGGCTAATCTCACAAATAAGTCATCCACTTGTGGATAATGGAGTTGTAACATTACTCTCAGCTTTAGTCAGCGGCGGCACAACGATACAGTTAAAGATTACAGGTCTCCAGAATAAAGGTGACTTGAGCACTTTTAGTGTTGCATTTAACTGAGAATGTATCGAGGGTTTGGTTGAGGATTTTTTCATAAAACCCTTCTGTTCTGGAAGGCAAATTTGTTATTAAGAGCATCAGTAATTTCTCTTAGGAAGTGTTCAAAATGCACCAGACCCTGAACACAATGTGAGCAGCTGAGGGTGCTGCGTCCATCAAGTGAACAGTTTGCCCTTCTCGTGTACATAATTTGAGCGTCAGTCTAATGGCAAGTGGACAATCATCTAATAAGATATTTCATACCTGTGGCAGCAGGTATAAAGCAATTTGTTTTTGCCTTCCATGTATAAAGCTTGGCAATAAAGTTTTTGTCTTGAGATTTTTGTTTTATAAGACAAATTAAAATTCCTGCTGGGTTTCTGCTGCTCTTCTCCGAGGCTGAATACGCTGCCTGCCTACCCTCCTACCCCCTGCACTTGCAAGGTTGCGGATGTCCTAGGAAAGGGCTGGAAAACCAGTAGCTAAAACTAAACCAGGCCCTGCTGCGTAGACCTGTCTTGGTGAGTGTGGAGCTGTTCTGCAGTAGAGGTTTGCAAAGAAGCTGTCACATCCTTGTTTCCTCTCTCTTTCTGGCTTTTCATTTGTCTTCGGGCCTGTTGCATGGAAGAAATAAGTCATCCATTATGAGCAGTTTGGGTGTGGAGGGTTTGCCCATGTGGTGGACTCTGGCAGGAGATAAAGGGTTTTCCGGGGCCTTTAGTTGTTCGGGTCCTATATTCTCGCACCTCCTCCGGGCTGCTGACTGTGCACAAACACGAAATTCGTTCCTCCAATAGAACAGCATTTGGCCTGGCTCCCAAAAACTGCTCTCCTCACTTAGGTGGCTTTGATTGAGTGTTAGGTGTCTCTTTGGCTGCCTCCGGCGTCTCTTATTTTTAGGGCCTTCGTTAATGTCTTCTGTGTGTGAAACATGAAAATTGAGCCATGGCTGCTGGAATTGGAAACTTAGGGTTTTTAGGCCACCATTCCCTTATCACATGGCCCTATCAGGTTATTTAGTTACAGAGGTTAAAAAAAAAAAAAATCTAACAAATGAGTCATCCACATGTGGATAATGGAGTTGTAAAATTACTCTCGGCTTTAGTCAGCAGCAATATAACTATATGGTTAAAAATTACAGGTCTCCAAAATAGGGACTTCCTGAGAACTTTTAGTGCGGCATTTAACTGAGAATGTACGGAGGATGGCCTAGGAGCCGGCATGTGTGGGGAAAGGAGAGAGGGGGTGGCTGAGCACCTCATGGGCAGTGAAAAAAGATAGCGTAACTAAAGCTTGGGCCAGCGTCCTCAGAGCGATGGCCTTTCAGGTCCTGGCAGGGGTCTGCTTACAGCTCAGCCTCGTTACAAATAAGGGGATAAATTGGTGGTAACAGTGCCTTTTTTTTTTTTTCTTTTTTCCTTTGGAAACAGGCGTCTCATGTGTTGGGAAATGGGCTTGGATGCTGAGTGGGTAACAGGCAGTTCTGAGAGGAAGAGCTCAGGAAAGGTGTGACCAAATGAGCCATCTGACTGGTCAGTGCAGCCCAGGGCTCACCCACGGAGGGAGCTGGGGTCTTTCAAGTGGGTGTTCGCGGACCCGTGGGAGACAGGGAGGGGTTGATTACAGGCGAGACCATTTCTCTTTTCCTTTCCTAAAGGAAACAGAAGAATGAAATAAAAATCTAAAATTTTGTTACTTTCCGTCTTTGGAATTCTGTTCATTTGTGTTTAGGGCCAGTTTTTAAAAATTTTTTTGAGACGGGGTCTTACTCTGTCACCTAGGCTGCAGTGCAGTGGTACCATCATGGCTCACTGCAGCCTTGACCTCCCAGGCTCAAGCGGTCCTCCCAACTCAGCCTCCCAAGTACTGTAGCTGGGACTACAGGTGCACACAATGATGCCTGGCTGATTTTTTTTTTTCTTGGTAGAGATGAGGTTTGGCTGTGTTGCTCAGGCTGGTCTTGAACTCCTGGGCTCAAGCAATCTGCTCACCTCGGCCTCCCAAACTGCTGGAATTACAGACATGAGACACTGTGAGTAGCCTGGGACCAGTTTTTTGATGGTCCCTAGCATTCCACGAGCATTAGTATGTAAGTGCCTAGTCCAGAGGTATGTTTAGTTGACTCTGGTTCCCTCCCTTCCTTTCAATGTGTGGAACTCACAGTTTTCTTTCTCTTCTTCCCTGCGATCTGCCACACTTCTCATTTTTTCATGGACTGCAGTACATTGTAATTGTCTGTGTACCAGTTTCCTCTCTCTTACTAAAGTGTGAATGTTTGATGGAAGAAACTGAGTGACAGGGTCTGTTGTAATCACCCAGTATTCCCCTTTGTGTGGTGCTGAGCCTGGTACTTGGTGGGGGTGGGTATGCAGTGAATGTAGAATGGTCGGATGCTTGAATGAGTATAGTCAAATTTCCTGGCCGGGAAGACCATACAGTGTCAGCACTGTTCTGGTTTTACTTCCCTCTTCAGGCTATGGGTGCATGCCCACTCACAGGGCAGGGACGGCCATGGCTAGTGCCTGTCTGTTACCTAAACTCCAGCCCAGTTTTGGTGCTCCCGTTTTTGAGTCCTGAGCAAGTGTTCCTGGCATTGTGTCGGTTCCCGTGGTGTGTGTTTTAGCCTGTGAGTCACTTTCCTCAATTTGAAGATCTGAAAGTAAAATCTTTCACCCAAGGTTTTTAGATTTTAGAGCTCATCCCTTAGGCCAGGGAGAGTGACTACTAATACTTATGGAACCTCTCCCTACGTACGTGGCTGTGTTTAGAAAGGGCTATTTGGAGACATAAATAATAGGTTTTGACATTGGAAACAAATGTATTTTAGTACATACCACTAAATAAATGTATGCTATAAGCTATTCTCCTGGGGTTATCAATCATTAAATATTAGCTTTTAAATGATTAAACATATGACTATATCTTATTGGTTACAAATGATGCCAACTCAAACCAGCGTAAGCCATACAAGTAGAATTTATATAAGGATTCACTGGGTGGTTTATGGGGACAAGGAAAGGAAATGCTGCCAGGCTACAAGGGAGTCTGGAACAAGGACTGCGGCAGTACCAGGAGCAAGGTGCTGCTCTTTTACCCCGAGACCCCTGGGACTCAACTGTGCTTCTCTGCTCATAGGGTCTAAAATGGCAGTGTCCGGTCCTGAATATACCTGCCTTCAAGTTCAATTGTGAACAGACACAAGTCTCTGTTTAAATTCCTGAGAAAGAATTTGGTCAGCCTGACCTGTGTCCGGTGAATTCTGCTCACGGGAATGGGGGCTGGAGAATAAATGTGGTTTAGAGGGCTGATGTGAGATCTCAGAGTCTGGAAGCTGTTTCAAGGTTCTGGAAATAGCCCAGGAGGGCTACAAAACTCAGAGCAAGCCATAGGGTCTGGACAGTACCCTATTTCCTTTATTTCTAATTATTTCTACCCTTTCTTTTGAGGGAACTCATCAGTGTCTTCCTGAGGCCTGGAGGCCTGTCTGTGACCATGAGACGGACTATCAAGAGCAGTGCTTGGGCTCTGCAGACAGCCCAGAAGTTCTCTGCTGCAGGGCTAAGTGATAATTCTACCGAGTCGGTTGACCTTCTGCTGGATAGCTGTAGAGCAGATGAAAAAAGAATATCAGGAAAGAAAAGAACATCTTTTTTTTTTTTTGAGACGGAGTTTCACTCTTGTTACCCAGGCTGGAGTGCAATGGCGTGATCTCGGCTCACCGCAACCTCCGCCTCCTGGGTTCAGGCAATTCTCCTGCCTCAACCTCCTGAGTAGCTGGGATTAACAGGCACGCGCCACCATGCCCAGCTAATTTTTTGTATTTTTACTAGAGATGGGGTTTCACCATGTTGACCAGGATGGTCTCGATCTCTCAACCTCGTGATCCACCCACCTCGGCCTCCCAAAGTGCTGGGATTACAGGCTTGAGCCACCGCGCCCGGCCAGAAAAGAACATCTTGAGCTTGTGGTGTTTTTTGGGTTGTATTATTTTAGGGTTTGGGGAGGAGGGAAGTGGTGAAGAATGGTTTACGAAGGGTGCTCTTGATTTTTCTGAGATGAAATAATTTTATTCAGCTATTTATATTTCAATATATTTCTTCAGTATCTGTTTTTAATATTCTGTTAGACGTTTTAGTCTGTCAAGAGTTATTGTTAATTGTCAGCCAAGTTCCTGGTTGCAATGAAGATAGTTTCTTTTTATGCCATGCTCTCCAGGGATCCACTAAACAGCCGGGTGGCTATGATTTGCGTTAAACTAATAAAGTCCCCTGGTTAAAGGGGTATGCCCTAGATTTAATATTTGAAATCCTTTCCATTAAGTACAGCACAAACAGATCTTTCTGTACATTTTGGTGAAGCTTAGCCATTTTCAATTGCTTACTTTGATCCTAATCTTTCATTTTTCTGATTGCTTTTGGTAACCTTCTATTTGGGCTGTCTGCCAAATTTTATGGTAGGTAACCTTTAGACAGGAGGTATAATCAGGTCATTTGATTCAGAAAAGGAGTTTGCTTTCCCTTCTGACTTCTGTTTTGAAAGCACTGGAATTCCCCCAGTAGAAACTGAGCGTGGAAAATAATGTGGAAATGAAGGAATTAAGATGGTGTGAATTTCTTGTGGCTTGCTCTGAGTTTTAGCGTCCTGGTGGGCTGGAAACAGATGCTGGGATCTTGCTTCAGCTCTCAAAGCAGCCTCAGTCAGTGGAACTTTTTTTTTTATTTTTTATTTTTTAACTGATGCTGCTTTCTCAGCTTCTAGAATTGCTTTCTTTGTGCTGCGTTAGAATGTCAGAGACAGGCTTCGTACTACTTGGCTAGCAAGGATCACCATCAAACATGTCCTGTAGTTTATCTTGAAATTTTAAGCTTCAGGCATCAGATTGCTTCAAAAAAGTTTGTGTCATCTGTTTTGCGGAGGGAGCTTGTGGCTGGGATTGCAGATGCAAACATTGCCTCTTCCTAAATTGGGTCCTTGAGTTAGTTGGTGTGCATCTCTAGAGTCCAGTGTTTTCTTTTGCAAAATGAAGGAAGTGGTGCAGTGATCACTAACATAATTCCAACCCAGCACACCAGGACTGAAGCTTAAGAAAGAATTATTTTTGTTATGAATCACGTGCATTTAGGATTCTTACCAGACAGAATAATTAAATATTATTTACTTAATCAGAATTTAATATTAAATATTGTATTTAATTAAGTAAATAATATTTAATTATTCTGTCTGGTATAAATATAAATATTCTGCTCTGGGTCTTCACCTCTGCATACACAATGCTGAATATGGTAGTTACTTCTTCAGTACTGTTGATGGTGTAAATGGATGAATGGTGGCCATTCTGAAACTGCTTTGTAGGATCTTAGCTATGTTGGAAGTCAATCTAAGTCTGGTCTCTGCCATTTGGAGTATATTTTGAAAATGGAAGATTTAAAACCTTCCTCATGTAAGTTGCCGTCTAAGGTTCTAGACCAACCCTGGTTCACCTGGGTTTTTTCTTCTGCAGGACATTGGCTCACAGAAAACAGGACTGCCCCCTTTCCTGGCATATTTGCCCTCAGACTGCCCACTTGACTAATCAGTTTAAGCTCTTCCCTCTTAGGCCATTAATCCTATTTCTCCAGCCGAGAAGCAGCAGGATAATAGTAATGTGTCCTGTAGCTATTAAAAGATGATATTGCCTTACACATAAATAAAGTACTTTTTTTTCCTCTGCAAAAGGATGAGCAAACAAATTTTTCATTTATGCTTTCACCTTTTTGTGATATTTCTTTGTATCCTCTAGTGCAGTGAGGGGAGAACATAATTTTTACTGTTATTGGTGATTATTTTCTGCTTGTTTTCAGCATGCTAGCAACAAGATGTTTGCTTTCCTATACATGCTTACATTTTGCCATCCCATGATGAGCTCTAGTTGCTCAAGCGGGCAGGAACAGTGAACATGGAAGTGATCTTTGGTATGTGATATTTTCTAAAGAACTGAATTTTGAAATAAGCACATTTCATGGCATTTGCTAACCACGGTAATCTCCAAATTCCTAGAGGTCAGATTTTCTCATTGAAGACTTTTTTTTTCCTTTTCAGTTTATATATGCAGAAAGGGCTTCATTAAAAGTGAGATCATTCTCATTCAATCT